AAAAAACAATCACACGCACACGCACACTTATTCTCTCAACACATCAGAAGAAGAAAAAAAAGCCAGCGAAAATTGTATGCTGAAGAGAACATTTCGACGAGCATGATAAATTTGTTAGCTCACGTTGAGTTTGCATGAATTTTGCGGTTTTTTCTCTCTGAAAATATCATGACAATCGAAACATTTGATGTGCACACACACACACACACACACACACAGTGAGAGAGAGATAGAGAGAAAAAGCCACACATAGTGAGAGCGAGAGATCCGTGCATAGCAATTCGTTAGTTAGTACGATGTTTGGGTTTAATTTCAACTGTTAGCGGTCATCTCGTATCCACAACAACGATTACGTCATTTTGTGTTTAAACAAAGTCCGAAAAGAGAAAAAATATCAATGGCAATAAACAACTACTACAACGAACAGCAACCGCGGCAGAAGAGCTAAACAATGAACATTCCATAGGACCATTGCTCCATAGTCATTCAATGTTTGTCAGTCGTCTCTCTTTCGCTGTCCTTTTCTCGCTGCAGCAGTTTTTTTTTCTCGCGTTCTTTGCCGACCGACTGAATTGATTCCATAACATTCTAACCGGTATTTTGCAGAAAACCAAACAAGTCATCGCGCTTTCTTCCGTCCATTCACTTTGGCCACCGAAAATTTAATTACGCTTTAAAATGCGCTATACAGCTCTATGATTGGAAAATAAAAGAGAAAAACACACACACATATTCATTGTTGAAGATTTGGTTCCGGAATATTCTCGCTAATTTTTCTGTCTATAAATCATTTGCAAAACTTCTTATCAGCTTTGTAAATTGGCAATGAAAAAAAAAAACAACAACAACAACAACAACAACAAATTGGTATATACATCGCGCACAAAAAAGGGGGAGAGATTTACAATTGCGCGAACAAAACACGTTGTGTTAGGTCGGTTATTCCCAGTATCAATGCGAAACATTTTGCATCATCACTTTACTTCTATCGATAAAAATTCCCAAATGAATTCATCAATAATCGCTGCGGCTCAATGATGTTGTTGAACGTACTTCACGACAAAACGAAAAAAAAGTCAAGAGCCGAAGAAAAAAATTCCCAAATTACAGATTGACATGTGTGTGTTAATGGGATTTGTGTTTCGCACGAATCCAGAATATATTGATTGGGTTATATTTGCCCGTTTTTGTCGCGATTGCGGTTCCAGCGCGAAATTTTGCATTCCATACATGATCGAGGCAAAAGAAGCTAAAAAAAACAAAATTCAACGACATTTCTATGTGCTAAATACCTATTCCTTTCTTTTCGCTTATATTGCCAATTCATTGTCTTTTCAGCATGGCTTCCATTCATTTCTACACTTCAAATATATATTCGTTCACTTTTCGACTAAGAAGAGAAAAACCGAACAGATAAATTACTTTCAAATTTGTCACAATCTTTTTTTCGCCTGATTGATTTAAATTCTTCTGGAGAAGAAGCAACAACAAGTCCGAACAAAAGCAATGCGAGCAGCAGCCGTAATTAAATATTAACATTTCACCTGAAACGAAGAAACAAACAGACAGACTGTTTTTTTTTCTTCTCGACAGCATTAAATCTCAAACCAGCATTCGACCCACTTCAATCCATGTTAGACGAAATATTCATGATGCGACTGAATGGATACGGCTCGCGCTTAGGCCTCTTAATAAAAACGAATCATATTTTTATGAAGTACGATATTTTATTATTGAAATGTGTGATTATCGAAACAATTGAATTTTATGAACTTTTTATTGTTGCCGTTGCTGCTTTTTTTCATTTGTTTCTTCTCTCTCTCTCTCTCTCTCTCTCTCTCTCGCTGTGTTTGGTTAGCTGTAGTGGGCGCATGTGAGAAAAGTTTGTGAACCGTTATACAAATACAGATTGAGAATGATAGAGCGCGTGAACGATGAAACAATTGGGGCGAATGAAGAGCAATAAGCCCGTTACTTAATGTGGTCTCAAACCACTTTTGTCGATCGTTTCTTTAATCAGACGATCACATTCTTAAAAGATCAATCGCCATTTGAGATAAAAACTCACGAAAACGAGAGAAAAAAAAATATATGACCAAACGAGAGAAAGAGGTGAAACTAGTGGCAACAAACACACATAATAAATCACGAAAAAGTTTTTCATTCCCATTGTGGAAATATCCGTGCGAACTTATTATGCTCGCTCTCTCTCTCTCTCTCTCTCTCTCTCTCTCTCTCTCTCTCTCTCTC